GGCCGCGCTCCCCTAGAAAGGTTGGCGCTCATCTGGGGAGGGGGCGTACGACACGGATAAAGGTACGTCGGCGGGTGTTTCGATTTGGTCCGGTGGTACTTGGATGCGTGGCAGCCCTTCGAAGCTTGTGTCTGGTCCCACAGAGTCGTCATCATCCTAGGTCGTGTCAAGGATTTGGTTGCCGTCAACACATACTCCAACTATTTGCGTAGCAGCTTTGGTTCAAATGGTGAGAACACAGCTGTCGCTCAGGCTCTGGGAAATTTCGGGAGCGGCCAAGAGGGAGGACCAAGAGGGGGGGGTGCAAATCATGACCGGCGGCATGTGCGCGGCCCAGCGGGGGGGCCAGGGACGTAATGAACTAAGAAGAGGCGCCATGAAATCTGGGGAAATATCATGACCCCCGCCATGATATCCACCCCCCCTAGTCAGCACCCCCCTCTTTTCCGCCCTCGAAAATTGAGTCCTAACCGATGGCCTTCCTTTACTGCCGGGAAGAACCACAACCTGGCGCCCCACATCCTGGAGACCGTCCTTCCCCCTCGTGAGGTCGAGCGGAATGCGTTCCTTCCAGGACCGCCCGTCACTTGCACGGCTGGCCTGGCCAGTCCAGGAAGTGTTGCGATGTTGTTCAGTGTCTCCTGCTCCCTTCAACACGCAATCAAGGACTCCATCAAGGACATGGAGGCCCATCGTGCACCTCACAGGCCAGCGATGCTCAGGTTCGTGAATGACCCAGGGGGCAAGATTGTCACGCGTCTCGGCCACAAGCAGAAGCGTCCTGCTGTTGTTCCCGTAGGCCTTAGACCCAGAATGCCATATTACAGATACCTCGAGGGCTCCATACATGCGATCCTCGAGGACTTCAAGGGGCCCAACGGGGAGCATTTCGTGACCCCAAACTCAGGGGTAGGCGTCAGAAAATCCAGAAAGCGTTGGATAGGGCAGCCCCGGGATGGCATGCCACAGCGTGGATGGCATGCCACAGCGTGCGGTGAACTACAGGACGCATTCCAGACTTGTCCAGGGCGAGGGGCGTCTGGAGGCACGCAGTGCGAGCTCGAAATTCGCTGGCCCAACGGGCCAGAGGCGTGCTAAGGTCTCCGGTAACTGGTTAACAGTATCTCTAGTTCGCGCGCGCGGGGCGGCCCCTGGGGGTCCCCGGACGAAAAGTACCCCGGGCGATCCCCGACCGACCCCCGAGCGATCCCCGGGAGACTCCCCCAGAGCGCTCCAGGAGCGCTCCAGGAGCGCACCAACAGGGCTCCGAGACGTCCCCGAAACCCTCAAGACGGGTCCAGATGCCCCCAAGAGGCTCCCAAGATGGTACACAAGGGTTCCGAGATGCCACATGATCGCTCCAAGACGCCCAAGATGGCCCCCAGACGCCCCAAGAGGCCTCCAAGAGCACTCCCAAAAGGGCCCCAAGAAGCAAAATTCATAGCTTTTCCTTAGGTTTTTGAGAGATTTTGGAGCTTCCACCTTTTCGGCTTCCCGACGCCCCAAGACGGCCCAAGAGGCCCCCAAGATCGCCCCAAGAGGGCCCAAGAGGCCCCCAAGAGGGCCCCAAGATGGCCCAAGAGGGCTCGAAGACGGCCCAAGAAGCCTCCAAGACGGTCCAAGAGGGCCCCAAGAACGCCCCCAAGGGGGCCCCAGAGAGGGAACACGAAACAACATTTCGAGCCCTCGGCCCTAAGAAGCCCCCACGAGGCCCCAAGAGGCCCCTAAGAGGCCCCAAGAGGCCCCCGCGAGGCCCTCAGGAGGCCCCCAAGATCCCCCAAGCGGCCCCAGGAGGCCCCCCAAATGCCCCCCCGAGCGCCCCAGGAGTCCCCCAAGCGGCCCCAGGCACCCCCAAAGCGCCGCATTGACACCAGGCCCTCGGGCAAACGGCAGACATGAGACGGTATGGGCCGGCGGAATGAGCGAAGCGATTAATACATCCTTTACCCAGACTTTTGACCACCAAGCTTCAAGACGTTCAAGACACGTGCGCTTGCTTCAAGACGTTCAAGACACGTTCAAGACCACCACCAGACTTTTTACCGTGGACGTTCAAGACACCGTGCGCTTGGTTGGCTCCACCACCGCTGTCAGGAAACCGTCTCACTCCTCTGCGACGGCAGGACTTGGGAGGGTAAATGCCTCAACCAGCTGTTCGGGGCCCTCCAGAGAGCAGCGCAAGGTCTCAATGGCCCCCTCCACTTCCACCTGGGTGACGGGGACCCTAATGTGGCAGACTTGATACATGCGGTTCCGACGTGACTCTGAGCCAGAACGACCTCATCCAAGGACTGGAGACTCTCGGAGCGGAGGCGGAGGTGTCAGTGGTTGTCTCCCTCGGGAGAAGAAGGAAGCCCGCACCAGCTGGAACTGGTGCTCAGAAGCTTGAAGGTGGGACCAAATGGGCCCATACGTATACTGAGGTGGCGGAGGAGAAGAAAGAACGGGTTCCCAACAGCTTGCCCGACAACCGCTCTGTCCAACCAAATCGAAGAGAGGTCGAACACATGGAGTGCAGAGGAGACCCGCAAGCCGACTGCGTTTGTCTGGCCTGCACTTCCGAACCCAGGGGCTCCGAGGATCGAGGAGCTCAGGCAGACATCCCTCTCTCCTTCGAGACAAATGCGACCGACATGGACGGGTTGCATCTCAGACATATTGCAGCCCTCTCGGACTGGGCTCGGGCCATCCTTTGCCAGATGTTCGTTATCATCAGACTGCGTGAGCATTAACCCACGTGGGTGCAGGCATCTATCATTTCGTGTTTTGCGAAGCCCAAGGCAGGGTTCAGACAGATCGGTTGTTTTTACCAGAGTCTAGGCAGGATGGTGTCGAAATGGGACGCTCAGGTCTTGCAAGGACGGGAACTCACCAAGAAATATAACACGTTTAACGTGGCACCGCACAGACATACTTCGGATGGGGTCTGGATGCAGGCCAGCAGTGGAGATATTGCACACTTGAGCAGCACGCATATCCTCAATATCCTAGGGGATCTTAGGCCGTGCTGCGAGCATGTACGACACCAGTGCCTCGAAGAGGCTGCAACTAGTTCTGCAACCCCCCCAGTACGTGCTGCAGCTTGCTCTTACGACCATGACAACCGAATCTTGATGATGGCGGGTCAGGCTTCGCGAAAATTATTTGCATGGCCAGGCAGCGTGGCCCGTTCCCGCAGAGCTGCCCTCGAGATCAAGTACCGTATGCTCTCAGTAATGCCCCCGCGCCCATCATCCGAGGATAGCCTAACATAAACATACACATCGGCGACATCAAGTTAAGCCAGAACGAATAATCACAATCGATGGTCATCCGTCAAGCGCGCCGTGCTCTAGCTCATCGCATGGCCCGATTCTCGAACGAGTTCGGGCTCCCGTTTGCGATGGGTCAATTCAATGTGACAGGCGATCCGGGTGCACTCATGCCATGTGCGGTTGCACCGAACAGATTGCTACGCGGGACTTGCCGGGGGCGAGCCCGCGATCATCAACTCGGGCTGCGGTTCTGCTTTTGGTATGAATCGCACGCAGCCCACATGGAGTAAAGCTACATGCGGGTTCGTCAAGATTGCGGGCTTTGCGGGGCCAGAATACAACAAACAACAAATTGCTCGTCTACGAAATCAAGCCGGGGTTGGCGTGCGGCGAAGGAACTACGGGCTGGTTCTCAGGGGGGGTCGGGACGAAGAGAACACAAGGGCCTTGAACAACGCGGCGGTCATTCTATGATGTTCTGGCAGGAAACGGTGGATGGCTAGTCGCCTACATCCAGCTGAAGGCCCACGATCGTCTATCTCTTTTGAAGCGGAACCAAGCCTTCGACGACGCCAAAAACCACTTCGAAGGTCTCCCCAAAAAGAGCTTCGGGGTCTTGGGGAACTGGGCTCAGAAAGCGCCTTGAAGGTTGCACACGCTGCCAAGATTCGCAGGCTAACCAGAGCCGAACTCCTCATGACAGAGACCTTACCTACTGCGGTCAAGGCCTGGCATTGAGGACCTCCGCTCCATTGCCCTGGCCCCCGAAATTCTCAAACAGCTCCCGTCAACTTCTGGGGGTTCGGAGGTCCCGACGGCTGCTGGCGAGATCCGTGACAGAGGGCTATGGACCCACCCCCAAGCAATGTTTAGGAGAGCTCCTCGAGACCAAGCAGACATTGGCATATCGTACGGCAACTACGTCACCGTGTCCCTCAGTGTTTCCGCGTCGCTCTATCATTCGGAATTCGAACTTGAAAGCGTTCGCCGGTGTCGCCAGCGCGCCATCGCCGCATGAACCTACCGTAATGTGTGCCGTCAGGCCCCATGGTGTGAGACCAGCGCCGGAGACGGGGACAAGGGGGAGTGGAAGGGGGCAAAGTTGGCTCTGGGTCGAGAGCGGGGGAAGGGGGGAAGGGGACAAACGTCAGGACTCAGGGCCAGGGCCTCTCGCACGCGGCGAGCAATACCTTCACCAACGGCTAGCGCGGTCTGGCGCGGTCTCCCTGGAGGGGCAGACGGTACTGGTGGGACTGGTGGAGCGCGAAGGGCACGATTCCTGGTAGAGGCAAGCGGCACTGGAGTGGGAATTGCATTTAAAGCAAATGGCGATGGAGGGAGCGCATACAGTCGAAAGTGCATGCAAATGAGGGAAATACATGGGAAGCAAATGGAGCTGGTGGGGCTGGTGAAGTGGGAAACGCTTGCAGTCGAAAGCGCACGCAGGAGGAGGGGAGACGGAGGGAGAGGACGTCATGGAAAATCTCTAGCCCCACCCAGATTGTGGGGAACACAAAGACAAGGAGGAGGAGGAGGAGGAGGAAGAGGTAGGAGAGAAAAAGGGAGAAGCGAGAAAGGGAAATAAGGGGGCATGGATGGGGAAGATGCGGGGAGGGAGAGGGCGAGACGGACGGAGGGAGGAGAGAGAATGAGGAGGCAACGTAATCGGAATGTGAAAAGTAGCAGATGAGGGCGCGGTGCTCTTGTGGAGCAGTGGATGTTAGAAAGAAGAAAGGCCGCAAACTGCAGAGGGAAATTGAAACGTGATGGGCAAGATAACAGGACGGCCTGCTGCATAAGGGCATGGACGCGAAAAGACGGGAAGGACGAATCTGAGGACGCCGACTACAAACCCACACCGATCATGTCCAGGCCCATCCTATGCTTGGGACCAGTGGATACCACAACATGACGATACCACAAAACAAACGGAGGTAAACCACTAAAGCAGCTGTGAGAAGCATGCCAGCGATTTTGATGGGGAGGACGCAACAAAGTGCAAGTAATTCGCCGGCCCGACGGGCTAGAGGCGTGCTAAGATCTCCGGTAACTAATTTACAATATTTCTAGTTCGCGCTCGCGCGGGGCGGCCCCTGGGGGTCCCGGGCGGTCCGACTCAGAGATGGTTTTCCTCCTGGGCGCCGCCCTCGAGGCCCTCCAGAGAGCCCCAAGAAGGGCCGCGAGGCCGCCAAGAGCCCCCCAAGATGGTTCAAGAGTGCTCCGAGATGCCACACGCTCGCTTCAAGAGGCCCAAGATGGCTCCCAGACGCCCCAACGGGCCCCCAAGAGGCGTCCCAAGAGGGCCCCAAGAGGCAAAGATCGTCCCATTCCTTAAACAAAACGTCGATTCTTAGAATAGTCGCCACTTGAGCCTTCACAACGTCAAAAGCGGCCCAAGAGGCCCCCAAGATCGCCCCAAGACGGCCCAACAGGCCCCCAAGAGGGCCCAAGAACCGCCCCAGAGGGCCCCAAGACGACCCAAGAGGCCTCCAAGACAGCCCAAGACGCCCCCAAGACGGCTCCAAGAGAGGGTCCAGACGGGAGACCCGCACGGATATTTCGAGCCCTCGGCCCCGAGACCCCAAGAGGCCCCCAAGAGGCCCCCAAGAGGCCCCAAGAGGCCCCCACGAGGCTCTCAGGAAGCCCCCAAGAGGCCCCCAAGCGGCCCCAGGAGGCCCCCCACATAACCCCCCAAGCACGCAAGCAAGTGCCAGCGATGCTACAATATGGGCTGGCGGAATGAGCGAAGCGATTGAACAACAAATGAGGAAGAGACGGAGGAGGGAATGCAAAAAAGGAACGGGCCGACGGGCAGGAGGAAGCGAGGAGAAAAAGGAAACACGAGACAGAGCAAAAACACGGCATGAAGAAAGGCACTCTCGACGTTCCGACCCTGGGCCCAGGATTGGCCTGGCCAAGGTCGGTGCAGGATGACGGCTGGCGTCCCCAGAGACTACCTCGACTCTTGGTGCGCCGCAGCGGCCCGCGTGTGTGCCGCACCGCAGCAACAGACGAGCCGGCCGCGCCCCCGGTCGCAGACTCAGTTGCGAGAATGCTCCCGGTTGAAGCTCCCCTGGCTCGTCCCGAGGCGGACGCGCAGTGCGGCGGCACCGCCGCCGGCTCCGCCGCCCACCGATGGAGGTGCCGGCTCAGACGGGTGCCTCTGGGCGGCCTCGGGGTCTGCGGCGGCCACGTTGTAAGACCGCCTGAGCAGAGCTGCTGGTGTTTGCCACTCGCTTCGAACATCCTACGTCGCAATACCACAACGCGTATCACATACCCGACCTTACATCGAGTTGCATCCCAACCTGCATCGTACACTGCGCCCCCCCAAATGCACCACCATGCACCAGCATTCGAGACTTAGCAGTGTCGCTTCACGCAGTTGTGACATAGCTTGTGCTGAAGCGCCAAACTGTAATTGTAATTGCAACGCGCTGCATCTTCGCACAACACGTTGAGCGCGTCGGTGCCCAAGCACTCATTCTCCGAAAAGCCACAGTCGCCAGCAGCCCGATGGAGGGAGTCTGGCGCTGGGGCCCTTGTGACCCGTACCTGGGCATATGGTGTATGTGAGATTGGGGCACGAGATCGAACAGAAACGGAGACTCCGCACAAAGAAATCGGTTTAGGTTTCGTAGTCGTGCCGTGCGTGCGGGCGCGACGAAGCTGCGTGCGCATGCGGGAGAAGAGATCCCGCCGCTTCCAGAAACCGCTGGCTCTTGGGCTTCATAAAGCGGGTCGGCTCATAGGGCTTGTGAGGTGCATGGGGCTCATAAAGGTCACGGTGCTAATTGAGCCTAGGAAGATCACACCGTTCAGAACGGGCTGTCGGGTCATAAGGCTCATCGGGCCGACGGGGCTCATGGGGCTCATAAGGCTCTCGAGGCTCTGAGGGGTCGCGCGGGCCGCAGGGCCCATGGGGCTGACCTGATGGAGCTCATAGGGCTCGTGGACCTTATGAGGCCCATGAGCGACATAGGGCACACTTGGCCCGTAGGACTCATATGGCTCGTCGGGCTCATTGGTCTCATAGGGCTCATAGGGCCCATAGAGCCCATAGGGCTTATATATGGCTCATAGGGCTCGTAAGGCTTACATGTCTCATAGGCTCTTAAACGAAATTGGGCCCATCGGGCTCATAGGGAGCACAGGGCTCAAAGGGCTCATGCTGCTCGCACGGCCAATGGGGCTCATACGGCCCATGGGGTTCGGAGGGCTCATAGGACCCATAGGGCTCATAGGAGCTCTATGGCTCATGGGGCTCATACATCACCAGGACGAACATTTTTCCTCTTGGGCCTGGAACGACGACGCTTGAAATCTTGAACAGACGCGTATGAGATAACCACCGTGGGATCCAATTAGGTTCGCGCGGATCCAACTTTGGTTTTGGTTTCTGCCTCAGTGGATCCGACTTCCGTCCGCGCGGATCCGATTTCGAATTTTCCAAATCCGCATCCGGTCCGATTTTTACTGAGTATCGTGTATCCAATCCCCATCCCCAGCGTCGAGGCCTGGGCCCCACGGGCCGATTTACCCCCCTAGATGGGGATACAGGTTGTTCCCTTCGGGTTTCGAGGGGTGTATCCCCAACTGGGGTGGTAATCTGGTGGGAGTCCCGAAGGGGGTGGGGACGGGGATGGGGATCGGATAAAGGATACTGATTTACGGGGCCCTGCGATGTCTCGCGCGCTCCCATCAGCTGTCCGCGAGCGCGGGCCCCACCCAACACGAACACGTCTCTCTCCTCCCGGTTGCCGCACGCTCGCAGAGCTCATGGCCGAGGTGCCCAAGGGGGTCTTGGAGGGCACATGAGGCTCATGGGGGTGACAGGGTTGGGAGCGGTCGAAGGGCTCATGAGCTGAAAACCATGATGGGGTTCGTAGGGGTTCGAAAGCGTACGAGGTCGCGAAGAGTATAAAATCGTACAGCGCATTGGGCTCGTGAACGTACGTGTTGCGGGAGACTCGTAGCGGTCATAGGGCAGATGAGGCTGATTCGCCTTCGAGGGTTCGTAGCGCAGACAGGGTTCGAAGGGTTCGCAAGGCTCGAAGGGCTCATACGGTCGTCGAGCTCATAGGTGTCGTACTAGGGCTCAGGAGCTCATTGAGCTCATGGGCCTCAGAGGGCTTTGGGGTGAGGCGCCTCAAGGGCCTCTTTGGAGGGCGCATAGGGAACGCAGGCCTCATAGGGCTCATAGGGCTCGAACGGCTCACAGCGCCATCTGAACCCATTTTGCGGGGCCTTGTGGGCAATTTCGCGGCCTTCTTGGGCAATCTCGGGGCCTCCTTGAAATCCAGGTGCGCCGCTCGTACTGTGTCAGGGCGCGAGATCGCGCGCTGAGGGTTTGGGAGCGTCCTGGTTTTACACGTTGGCACGTGGCTGGGAACATCTAAGCTCCGCCGTGGCCGCGTCGGTCGCGCCAAACTAGCTGGCCACTGCGCGCGCGCATGCGCGGGCTGGCGTGGCAGCAGAGATGCAGCAGCCAGCGCCAAGCACTCATCGCAATCGCCGCCGCATGGGTGTTGCAAGCCACATTCTGGGTGGGTGGGTGGGCGTTTGCACGAGCATGGGGTTTGTCAGATCGTTTGTAAAATCATTTCTCCTTTCGAGAAAGAGAATAGACTCTACCCCCCATGGACATATCGGTTCCCCCTGGGATACTACGATTTCATCATATATATATATATATATTATATATAATATATATATATAATAATATATAGTAGATATATATATGTGTATATAGTGTTTATAGATATGTGTATATGTGTATATATATAGTCTCTTGCACAGGGTGTCTAGAGCTCCGACCACTTTATTTCGGCGTCGTCGCCCCCCCTCCCCAGCTGCCCAGTGCTGGTGCTGGTGCTGGTGCTGGTGCTGGTGCTGGTGCCGCTGCTGGTGCTGCTGGTGCTGGTGCTGGTGCTGGTGGTGCTGGTGCTGGTGCCGCTGCTGGTCCGCCCCGACCACTTTATTTCGGCGTCGTCGCCCCCCCCCCTCCCCAGCTGCCCAGTGCCCTTCGGCGTCGCACAGCCCCTTCCGCCCCGACCACTTTATTTCGGCGTCGTCGCCCCCCCCACCCCCTTCCCCAGCTGCCCAGTGCGCTTCGGCGTCGCACCGCCCCCTCCGCCCCGACCACTTTATTTCGGCGTCGTCGCCCCCCCCCCT